TGTGGATGACTACTTATGCTCTCGAAATAATTCGATTGAGCTTTCAGGGAGGAAGGGGTGATTTTATATACAGTGGCTGCTGCTACTAATGCAATGCTCTTCAACTAGAATCGAGCTCTGCTAGCCACTGGCGTCTTTCGTTAAAATTTCACTGCGACAATAGCTTGAGGGTAGAATATCTGGCTGATGCCAAATCTATCGATGGGAGTTGGGGAAATGCAAAGTCGGTCTTGGCCTTCCCGCTAACTTGGAACATGTGCATGTAAATTTTGGTGCAAATCCGTCGAAAATTGCGGCCGTGCATTCGTCACACACACACACACACACACACACACACACACATATTGCCTTTTATAGATAGAGATTCGACAGCTTTTATTAAACGTCATTTTAGGCATTTACAAAGTTGTTTTCTTTCTTCATTTATTAAGTATAGTAAGAAAATTTTCCGTAAATACGTTATGTTCCTATTAAAAATAAGTAGACAAAACTTGTCTAAATTATTTAATGAGACATATCTTCATACATACATACATACATACATACATATATATATATATATATATATATATATATATATATATATATATATATATATATATAGGTATAAGTGGGGATATAAACCCAATACTTAGGTATGGATTTTCAGGTCAGCGAAAAAATATTTACTTAATTTAAGGTGTAAACAAAACAATACTCAATGTGGTTAGACAGAGATAAAAAGTACATATTAATAAATATTTGTGTATTTAGCCAGCAATCCTTCTTTTATGCACATTTCATTGAATACGACAGACAAGGTGCTTTTATCTAGATTTTTTTTATACAATTTCTCATGTGATTTAATAAATCTTTTCTTTTCGGGTGATAAATTATATAAAACCTGTCCGAATATTCTTTTTTATCCGAACGCTTTCGGCTATACATTTAACCATTTTCAAGGATTAAATATTTTAACTGTTACATCAGAAATAGATTGCTGTATATATGTTTTAGAAAATGTTTTAATTTTTCAAAACATGGTCAAGACATTGTGTCTATGTTCAAAGTTAATATTATTAAGTGTTGTTTTTTTTTTTGTTTTTATTAATAAGGTTTCCATTATTTTTAGCCTTTTTATTGCATGATGATGCTATTATATTAGTTTTGTCAACAAGTACGTTACTGTCGGTCTCCATAAATATTTAAATGAGATCTAATTGAGCTATGGTCAGAAAGGTGTAGAGTGAGTCTGCGTGTCAAACATGTCCTGTGGCTTATATAATTATTAATAATTAATAAATTACTATACAGATAACTACGTTCGAATGTTCGAAGGTTCTACTACAACACGAACTATTTCGATATGTGGTTCTACTAATATATATATATATACGAATATATTTCGATTGTTTATATATATATATATATATATATTTAAAAGTGGGAACTGGATATATATATATATATATATATATATATATATATATATATATATATATATATATATATATATGTATGTATGTATATATGTATATAAATATATATCCAGGTTCGTTTGACAGAACGAATAGAGATTATAATTCCAACGTTCGTTTTTTAATTAGGGCCGAATACAGAGACCCTAGTTTAAGGTTCCCAAACAACCACCTTCAGGTTTCAATACAGAGTTAAAGACCAGTCACCATGATGAGATGAATTGATATGTGTAGGAGAAAGCACTTGTGTAAGCGAATTTTTATATATTTTCGGCTCTGATTCCTCAAATAGGAATATATATATATATATATATATATATATATATATATATATATATATATATATATATATATATATATATATATATATATATAATATATGAACCTAAAGAGGTTTTTTTCTTTGGACTCTGAGCTTGTATTCTGGACGATTGTTTTCGACAAAATTAAATTGTCCTTGTCCTTTTTTTATTCCTTTTTTTACCTTGGGTATTGGTTTGGTCATTAACTAGCCAATAAACCTAAGGTTTTTCCGGACGAGTATACTTACTTATATATATATATATAATTGTCTATTTGGGCAACAGTCCATTTTTGATACAAGTTTGATTAAAGACAACCGACAAGGGACTGCGCTTAACATTTCTATTCAATTTCTATTCAATTTTTCAAGTGTTTTCTTTTCTGGACACAAAATGTGTAAAAATTATCTTAACCATTATCAAGGATATTTTTTGAATGTGCTAACCGTAATTAAAAAAAAAACAAAAAAAAACATACCGGGTGTAACAGCAAAATTGTCCAATTTGTGCAACAGCATAATTGTCCATTGCATAAAATGTTTAATATCTAAAAAGCTACTCAACTAATTGAGTTTCTTTTTACAGGTTTTCAGATACGATATTCAGGCATCTTGATGTCATTTGTTATAAAAATCACTGAAAAACTTCGTCAGCTAAATAATTATATTACAAGGTTATGGATCTTTTTTTTTATCAACACGGCAGATTTTTATCACTTTAAACGTTATATGTAATGGATATTCATGTTTGATAGATGCTTTATTTATTTATTGAGCAGTATGATTTTTTTTTTATCTTCCGGCTTGAATATTCGAGAAATTTCATTAAAAATATATAGGCTCTCTCATATTTTTCGCTAATGACGTTTCTCGTGTATTACATAATGCAACGCTCAGTTTTAAGACCTGTATCTGAAAATTGCGTTGTGTATGAAACAGAGAGCTGTGCTACCGGTGAACAAAAATGTCTATTTCTTTTTTCTTTTTTTTTTTTTTTTTTTAAGCATTACGCCCCGAGCAAGGCGTGAAGCCACTAGGATGCAGGGGGGGGGTGCAGAAGATTTGGAGCGAGAGCAGATAGGAGTGATAGAAGAAAGGATGGGTAGAAGGATAGAGGATAGATCAAGGTAACTGGAGATGTCGATTGACATTACATTTGAATAGTTGGAGATTATAGCTCTCAGGGAAACAGTAATAGGGAAGGGTGTTCCACAGGCGAGAGGTGCGAGATATGAAGCTATGGGAGTAGAAGAGACGGCTACATTTATGAGTTTCGACAGTGAAGGGGTGAGAGCGGGATACCTGCCTCGTAGGGCGCTTGAATTCATGGAGTTTGGGAACCAGTGAAAGCAGCTCATCGGAGTAATTACCATCGAAGTATTTGTAGAAAAGACAGAGAGAGGCGACGGCGCGTCTGTGAGAGAGTGACTGTAGACGAGATGCCAGATCAGGGCCAATTATATTACATATCCGTCTCTGGATCTTGTCAAGAACTCCGAGGTAATCAGAAGGTGCCCCAGACTATATATGGCAGCAATACTCCATGCAAGGGCGAATGGTTGATTTGTATATCGATTCCGGGGAGAAAAATTTCCTGGCGCGGCACAGAGAGCCAACTTTCCTAGAGACACCGAAATGATTAAACGAAAAATGGGGAGAGATAAAACGAATAAGACGTTAAAAAAAAGTTAATTTATTTTGATAGAAACATCATACGGAGTGCTGTATGTGTCTTTTTCTTTCTTTTTTTCTTTTTTTTTATTCTCACCCACCTCTACGTCAGCGATTGACTCAGAAAACTCGCAAAAAACGGAAGAAATGAACGACAAAACGATGAAAAAAAAAAAAAAAAAAGACGTGTTTGGGTAAAAAGAAAATAATGGAAAGGTGTGGGGAAAGGAGACAAGTCTTTTTATTTTCATTTTTTTTTTCTTTTTTGATAATGGCAGCGGAAACACCCTCTAATAACTACAGGTGACCTACTCAGTTGGGTCCTACTAGGATTACAGCCCTTTCTTATTAGAGATTTTAGGGTGTCAACAAATTAACACCCACGCAGAGCTAAGTTGATAGAAAACTACATAGGTAGCTATCTAGATAGATAATGAGCATAGACAGATATGAACCGACACACACATATATATGTATATAGTTTTAAAGAATGATATATTTATAGGTTCAAGTGCTCAATATCAGAGATAGAGCGTATGTAATTATAAAAGTGGACACGCCTGACGATTGCCTTTAAGCATGAAACAGACTGTCGACGTTGAGTGTTTATCTGTATATCTCTCCATATATATATATATATATGTGTGTGTGTGTGTGTGTGTGTATGTGTGTGTGTAGTAACTGTCCGGGTTCAGTTCTCGATAGTGTAGTGATTTTCCAAGCGTAGCTCAGATGTGGCACAAGGCCGAAATTATGGGGTACCCAGTGAGGATCGAACTCACTTTTCAGTTGTAACTGATCTAGCGAGACAAGCTTGCTAACCATTACATCACGCCGAGGTGCCCCAGTTCTCGATAGTGTATGCGCACTGCTGATGACTCACAAATTTGGGACGGATCGGCCGTCCGTTTCTTTCTGTTGAGGTTTTTTTTTTAGCCACGATGAATTACTTAATTATGATTATCTCAAATCCTCCTAATAATTTCTATTACATACACACACACACACACACATATACACACACACAGACACACACATATATATATATATGTCTATTTATGTGTCCACTGTCTGTCTCACTTTATTCATGCTCTCTCTCTCTATTCTCTATCTCTCTCTTTTATATAAGTATCGTCAATAATTCGCCGAAAAAACATGATGAAAAAGGCCCCAAACTCAATAGAAACAAAGTTTTGTCGTCAAAATGTTTATGTTATTATTAAGAGAAAAGACCAAAGTACTCTTTAATTATTTTTCATTTTTTTATGACTTATTAGCACGTTCGAAATTTTGTTTAAATATCTTGTTTTTTTCCATCAGCGGTCACGTAATATTTACCATTAGTTTTTTTTTTTTTAGCGCCTTTTTTTCAGTTGAAAAACAGACTAATTTGTAAATTCTTGTAAATTGCTCTCTCGAGTAACACCCTATTTATCATCTCTCAGTTGCGTCTCTGTCTTTGGGCAGAGTGCGCTCCGGGATGGCTCCTTCAAAGAACAGAGTTACAATTGAGGAAAATTATACTGAGAGGTGTCCAGCTCTGGGGAACAGCTGCCCGAGGCCGCGCCCTCTCATCGAGAGAGAGAGAGAGAGAGAGAGAGAGAGACAGACAGACAGAGACAGAGAGAGAGAGAGAGAGAGAGAGAGAGAGAATTCAAAAATTGACTAAGACATTATATCACCTAGGGCGATATATAATATATAATATATATTAGGTCTGAAGCAACAAAAACGTTTTCTTTTTTCTAATTTTTGCGGGGGGCTGCGGTCAATTTTGTTCCTAGCCTGGGTTAATATTTTTAAACTATGTACGCGTTTTTCTCAAATGGGCTTCCTACATTAAACTGACCTTGTGTCACAACTTAATCTCGTGGGGGTTTGAGTAAATACAAATTTGGACATTCTTGCAAAATCAAATAATTTTTGGAATTTAGTGAAACTTATCTAGTTTTATGAAAACTCAAAAAAATTTGTGATTATATTAGTTAAAAGGAGAAGGCTTGAAAAATAATATAATTCATTGATTTTTTTAAGTTTAAAACTACAAAATTATTGAGAAAAGAAAAAATATATATGTTTATTCAAATTCCGACACGATGTTATCCCAGAATTCTAGTTTGTGAATTCTTAAAATACAAAAAAACCCAATAAGACTAAGACATTACACACACAAATATACACACACACAAATATAAAAAAAAAAAAAAAAAAAAAAAAGGAAGGGGTGGGGATACATGAACAACTCCACAGCCCTTTACGAAAAAGAGACGTGAAACTAACACACACATCATTAAAAAAGCTATTAATAACTTTTATGAAAAAATATATATTAACGATATATAATATATAATATATATTAAGGTCTGAAGCCAAAATATTTTTCCTATGAAAAATGAATTTTTACAAAAACGTTTTTCTTTTTTCTAATTTTAAATAGTAAATGTTGTAAAGTTATTAAATATTTTAAAATTAAGTTTGAATATCTGTAATTTTTTAAATGCTGTTATTAAAATGATCTATTTTTACATATTGTAAATTTGAAAGCTTATTAAAATCTGTGGCACGTTAATATTTTTAAACTATGTTTTAATATGCAAAAAATGTATTAAAAAACGTTTTCTCCAAATGGACGCCCGGTTCAGAATAGGCTACGAGTTTTAACTATTTTGCTTACCCTATAGCTAGCACGTATCAAATTCTCTGAGTGAGCATCATCGTCTCATTTTCAAAGTTTTTAAATTTAAAAATATATATATATATATATATATATATATATATATATAGAGTAAACATTGACGTCAACACACCAATGAAGACAGTCTGTTTCAACATATTATTTTTATCTTACACACATACATACACACACACATACACACACACACACATACACACACACACACACATATATACACACACACACACACACACACACACACATATATATATATATATATATGGGGTGGAGTGTACACCCTCACATGTAAAAAAAAAAAAACAAAAAAAGCATGAAATAGACTGTTTTCATTATATATATATTTGTTGACTTCAGTGTTTACACTTATATATATATGTATATATATATTTATATATATATATATATATATATAAGAAAGAGATATACTGTCAAAAACATAGAGAGAATGTATAATTTCAAATTTTTCATGAGACAAAATGAATTTATATAAGGAGTTACATGTACGAGCTTAAACAAAACATTTAACACATTATATATATATATATATATGTGTGTGTGTGTGTATCATAGTAGAACCAATGTTTATATATTTATTTTAATAGATATAATTTATAAATAAGTAAATGTATTTGTATTTTTTTTGAAAAACCTTAACATTAACACATTTTTTTAATTTCCTCTAGGTTATCAGCACGATGAAAAGCTTAATTTGGTATTAGGGGTGGGTTTTTCGACAGGTTTTTAATATTAAAAAGGGGAAAATATTTCTAGATCTTCTTTTCTTATTATGGTTGCAGGGTTTTTATTGAAACCTATCCACTATTTTTCCTGCAGAATTATATCACTATATTTTTAAAGAATATTATAAACAAATTCTAAATTCAATTATGAAAGAACATAGAAATGAAGAAATTGTTGAAATTAACCCATATGGTTGGAAAATATTGTTACCATCTATTCTAGAAAAAAACTAAAGACGACTTTTAAAACCCTAAATTACATTTTCTACAAAAAATAATCCTGTATCTATATATATATATTGTATTGACGTCAACACCCAATGAAGTCTGTTTCATGCTTATTTGCACACACACAAAAACACACACAGATATATATATATATATATATATATATATATATAGGTAGTGTGTGTATGTGTATGTGTGTGTGTGTGAAAACTTATATATATATGTATATATAAAATTTAATATATATATATATAAAATATAGAGAGAAAAAAATAAAAATTAAAAAGAAAATAAACACACACACACATAATATAAAATTATCTAAAAATAGATATATTTATATATATAAATGCTTTGTATTGTGTTGTACACGACTTGTTTTTCAGTGTGTAAATAGCAGGGTGTCCTCATATATGATGTATACTTTGAAGAAAGAACATAGAAATGAGGACCAGTTGGAAAACTAAAAATTAAAAAAAAATTACATCTACAAAATTACAGACATATATATATATATAAAATGAAAATAAAACTGACATTTCAGTTTAACAAATATAACAAAGATATATTTGCAAAAATACAAGAAAATAAAACGAAAAAATATCTAAAAAATACTAAAGAATAATTACGCAAAATAGACATTTCATTTTCAATAAAAATCGCCATTGGCCATTCAACTACAGTCGCCAGAAGACTTTGGAATCTCCTGCATATCTTCTTGACGGTCTCCTTGTTCAAGTTGGTGAATACTCTGCACTGACCTCAGATTGACGCTCAAACACTCTGTAATATTCGTATTGATGCATCCAGCACGCATTCCAAAGCAGTACAGCATGCCGTTTCCAAATTTCTGGCAAAGTGAATTGCGTCATAGTGATCTTGTTTGCACTGACGGTGCCAAACTGACAAAACTATATTGTGCCTTCAAAAAAATCAAAAACAAACAATGCGCATGCGCAAAACTAAAAATAGAAAATGTTGACAATTTCCCGATTGTACTCTGTATGCATTTCTATATCTATCTATCTATCTATCTATCTATCTATATATATATATATATATATATATATATATATATATATATATATATATATATATATCAAAAAACAATTGGAAAAAAATGTTACATTTTGCCGACGCGTTTTTCTTTTTTTTTTTCAATCCCTTTTCAAAAAAAATGAAATCAGAAAAAATGTTTTTGCTGTTATTTTTACATTAAAATTCAAAATTAACAAGAAAAGACGCTTGTGTCTCGGCCTTTTTCTGGTTAATGTAAATTACCTCTTACAGTAAGGGATTATTATTATTTTTTTTTTTTTTAATAATTTTTAATATATATATACATATTTTTGTGTTATTTTTATAGATACAATTATTTAAGTAAATGTTCTAGATTTATAATAAACCGTTTATTAACAACATTTACCGGCCTGAATGTCCGAGAAAATTTTCATAGAAAATATGCATCCTCCCACAGGAATCGAACCTGTATCCTATACGGAACCGTCATTTAGCCTGACGTGCTTTTACCGATTTCGCCACAGAGGAGCGTTTCGGTTTGCATGGTCGATTTTATTGTTTTTACTTAAATATTTGTATCAATAAAAAGAACGTATAAATATATATATATAATAATATATATTTATATATATATATATATATATATATATATATATATCCAGATCACATTCCACCCCGTTTTTTTGAACAGGAGTAGGGGAAGGTCTTATGCATTATTTCCAGATTTGGATTAGGTTTCTGGTTCTTTATAAAGCGTTGGAACGTTTTGGGGGACAATAATGATTTATTGATACAAATCCTATTAATTAACACAAAGCGAAAGTGGGGTAGAGAAGAGGTTGATTTATACCTTTCCCAGGGATATTTGCGAATAAGTGAATATAACAAACTCGAATTGAAATTCGGTCGACCGATCTCCAATTCCGAGCCATGATCCATTACACTGCCCGCAATTCCAAGCTTATAGCACCTAGCTTTTCCAAGCTGTCCCCCATCTAGTTACTAATCAGGCTCGATGGTTCTTAACTTCAGTGTTCGAAGAGAGGTAGCGAGCGAAAGAGAGAAGGTTGGAAAATAAATAACACTTGCATTTTTAGAAGCATCCGATTAGACATTTCTTTAATTATATAATCAGACATATGCAGGTACATAAAATATATTAATCTGTGATGACGTTTATATAGGTATCCAAATAAGCTGATAAATTATCTATTTGTACGTATATATATGCCCATTTTTATATATAAAAAAAGCAACAGCTTTTAGTCATTTCAAAAGATTAAAATAATAATTGCCTAAATTTCTGCCACCCTAACTGTCCGACACGAAGATCAGTTAAATGATAATTTATTGTTGAGGCTCTAGATAAATACATGCAAAATGAACTGCGTAGATTTGTTCACTTTCACTCACCATACATACACATTTATTCGGCAATATACACGCATCTCTCCAGCGGTACCAAATGATTTAGACACGATTTGACCGTATTTAAATACCCTCCTATTTAAATTTAATATTGCAGTAGAAACAGGAATTGCTAAGCCGAGTTTAATTCCCGGTTTAATTTCTTGTGATCACTTTTGCAAAAAAATGACCTTGGGAAAAAGATTGATTCATCTTTTCTCCTCCCCCCTAGCTATGGATTAAATAGAAGAGTAGACAGGGCTTCATAGCTTCGGCAACCAATCAACGAGAAGAAAATTTCTGTATACCAAATCATTAAAAAAAAAGCAACGAGAAATCCCTCTTTTCCAAGAATGCAAGGTAATTCACAGATAATTAATGAAAGAAACGTGTGAAGCGCCATGATCACCTGCGTTCTGAAGTTGCTTGCTTTTGTTGAGCCGTTTATCAGCCCCTATGTGTTATTTAATACCGAAATCTAGGTATTCTGTACGCAATTTTACTTTTATTTTATTTTTTTAGATAATAATGATTTAGTGGTACAAGTCTTACTAATTAACCCATAGCTGGGGGGGAAGAGGTGAATTCATACCTTTCCTATTTCTGCGTAAGTCAATATAAAGAACCCGACGGGAATTGGAACTTGGATCTCCGATTAACAATTCTGAGCCATTATCTATTACACCGTCCGCACATCCAAGCTTACAGTACCTAGTATTCCCAAGCGGTCACCCATCTGGGTACTGACTAGGCTCGACGTTGCTTAACTTCAGTGATCATACAGGAACCTATGTTTCAACGTGATGTAGCCGTGAGCCCACGTTCTCAAGTGCAAGGGCATTAAAATGTTTTGGGGAATTATATCAGGTAAAACTAATTGCCATCTAAGGCGTGTGGGTAGACATTAGCCTCATTCACTCGAGTACCGTAGTCTCCACTGAGAGTTATGGAGCCAGCGTTCTCAACACTCTAGGCCAGGGGACGGCAACCTACGGTACGCGTGCCACACGTGGTACGCAAAGCAATTTCCAATGGCACGCAGCCGCAAATGACATCACGAAGTCCGAACCAATAACTACCACAACGCAAAGAAGAAATTTAGCTGTTTCAATTTTAATAGATACTAAAGTATCTTAACAAAATTACTGCTCTTACAAACAAATATACACAACAGATTCATAAAATCAAAAGAAAATGATTGAATACATCAACACAGATATAATGACAATATTCTCCACACGTGACAAATACTGACATTATTTTTCAGTTAAAAATATGAAAATAGCGTTTCTCTACATTCCAGTTGCTAGGTACATTCTGTTTTTGTTTTTATTAGTTACTTTGTTCATTTAATTTCATTTTCGTATTTTGCTTTGATAAAGTCCACACTCCCCTTTATTGGCCTCGTGTCACAATTTGTACTTTTTGTACGAATAAATATCAGTCCACATTGGACGAAACACGTCAGCAATTACCAGTTTTCCTATTGTCATTTTTATTCATAAATACTAAAGTATATATACTATATATTACCATATAATTTATACAATTTTAATATATGCTCAAGTATATACGCTATATATTACTATATAAAACATATTGTAGAACAGGTATATTGATTTTGATTTGTATAAAAACACGTAGGCTGTTGCCACACTGAATGATTTTAAAACCCTAATAGTTAGCCAAAGGTTGTCGATCTCTGCTCTAGGCGTTGCTTCTGTAGTTTACGTAGGCTGAAGAGTCCCTGCCCTTGTATTTAACCCAAAACCGGGTAAGATACATTCATACCATTCCCAAGGCTAATTGTGTGATAGTGACTGTAACAAACTCGACTGGATTTCGAACTCGGCCAGCTCTGAGCCACTCGTCATTATCGTAACAAATGACATAATATCGTAATTATAATCTGAGAAAAATATAATATAATAATAGATTTTTTGGCAACACGCGTCAGACCACGTATTTAGTATTTGTTTTTATTTCTGAAATGGGGTGTTGTAATTGTTAAATTATTTACATTGTTCGGACTGTTGTCTTCATCTTCGTAGCTATATTCTCGACGTTTCGGCCGTTTACGTTTCGGCCTCTTTCAGGATCTGTCTATATTTCTGAGATAAGGTATTGTAATTATTTACATTATTTAAATTGTTCGGGCTGTTGACCTCATCTTCGTTGCCATATTCATGACGTTTCGACCGTTCAGGTTTCGGTCTTCTTAAGAATATGTCTATATTTATGAGATGACATATTGTAATTAATAACATTATTTACATTGTTCGGACTGTTGTCATATTGACGACGTTTCGGCCGTTTACGCTTCGAACTTCTGGATCTGTCTTTATTTCTGAGATAAGGTGTTGTAATTATTTACATTGTTCGGACTGTTGTCCTCATCTTCATTGCCCTATTCATGACGTTTCGGATGTTGTACTCTTAGACATCTTCAGGATCTGTCTATATTTCGGAGATAAGGTGTTGTAATTATTTATACTATTTACATTGTTCGGACTGTTGTCATCATCTTCGTTGCCATATCCTCGACGTGTCGGTCGTTGTACACTCCGGCCTTTTTCAGGTGATTGGAATTTTGAACTGAACCCTTTATTTCGTCAGAAACATTGTGAATATGGCAACGAAAACGAGGACAACAGTCCGAACAATGTAAATATATGTAAGTATTTAGCATTGTTGAGATTATCGCGCTAACATTTTTGTCTCAATTTACAAACTCTACGTTTCGTTCAATTTCGCACACTAATTGATGAAATTTGAATGAGCTAATTTGCTTGGAAAAATACTTTGACAAAACCCCTATTTAGTAGATTTTACTCACCCTAGTAAAACCAACTGTATTTGAACCCTGTTACCTGCTTGCTCTTCTCCCTAATATTTGGTTTCAATTGGTTAATGTATGGCTATTTTAGAGGGCGTGACAGATGGTCGGGCGGAATGATGGAAGTGAGAGATTTATATATATATATATATATAGATGAAAAATATGAAAAATATATTACTGCGGAATCATTTTACATGTAAGATTCTGTAAGTAAATAAATAAATGTTACAGTTTCTCACATGCCATCAAGTAACCTCATGTTTGTTTGAAAATAGAAAATGTGTTCTATATTCAATAGCTTAGGCACATTATCACAATTTTGACAGGCGCCAATTAATATAAAGGCACTTTATTTATTTGCCCTTATTACATAAAATAAACATGCTATATAAATAAACAGAATTTATAGATAAACAGGCTATATAAAATCAAATATGTCAAAAAAGAAACTAGGTATTTACTCTGTCTACCCATGAAGACGAGTTGTGACACAAGGTCTGTTTTTACGGTGGAGACCCGAGCGCGTACACCCGGGCTAGGAACAAAAATTGCCCGCAGACCCCCGCAGCACCAGCAGTCATCGGTTGCGCTGGCCTCGGTGCGAGCACCGATCCCTCTCTCTGGAGCTTCGGGCAGCTGTTCCCCAGGGTAGGGCAACTCTCAGTATAATTTTCCTCAGTTGCGACTCTTTTCTTTGACAGTCCAACTGTGTTTGTACGTGTGTAGTGTGACGTTACGTTACATTTTATATCGACAGATATAGTTTTCACACAGGCCTTGTCTGACGATATATTGCTTTTTAAAATCAAGTTAACATCCTGCCAAATTCTGCAAATTTGTTGCAGTCATATTCTGGGGATAGAGTCATGAAGTTTCTTCGAAGCCAGCAAAAGATGGTGGAACAAATGAGCACGCATGCAGTCGAATATATCTATGTACAAAAATCGAAATACCTTCTTTGAAATTAGCTAAAACGCTGCGAACTTGTGTTTCCTCCCACTATACGAACAGTCACGTGCGCACGCATGCGCACACATACCCACGAACGCACATATATACATGGTGCAGCGGAAATACCTCCCACATAAACCTCCCATAAATACCCCGCACATTAGTGGCAATAGTGTCTTCATATACTAATGTCTGTCTTACCATTGTGTGGGTGGTATTTCTGGGAGATTTACAAGGGAGGTAATTCTGTCGCACACTGTATATAAGGTTCAGTCATTAATCATTTCCGCTTTTGTTTTCGAAATTTTGTAAAGTACAATTTCGTTTTATTCAGTTATACATTCGCCATTATTTGCAATGACATGTTGCCACTTATCAGGCAGCTCTTCGATACAGGCTTGATGCGAAAATGTGTTCGACGAATTGAAGTATCTGCTTTTCATCTAAAGGACGATCAATTTAGATATTTCAAAGGTCTTTGACAAGGTGTGGCATAAGGGCTTACTGCTCAAGCTCTCCAGCTATGAAGCCAAAGGAAGAGTTTTCTCAGTCACAATGTCCTTCCTAACGGATAGGTCTCTGAGGGTAGGTGTTAATAGCAAGTCTTCAGAATCCCAGGCGATCAACACGGGCGTTCCCCAAGGTTCCTTTTTCGGTCCAAATCTCTTCCTCCTCTACATAAATCTTCTGCCTAATTGTATACTCTGATCAACTATGCTGATATATGGGTTCTGATATACAACGATATATGGGTTCTTTTTCATTCTTTTTATATGCCATGACCTTTCAGTACGTAGGCGATCATAGCTTCACTTCCTTCTCAGCTCCGAACAAGATACTTCCTCCTGCTTCCTCCCTCAGACCACCATCTGTCATCCACTTGCTTAAGTCCGCCAGGTATTTCCCGCGTTGTTTTCCCTTGTCTCTCTTTTCCTCTATTCGACCCGTGAGTATCAGATTCTCCAGGCCTCCCTTCCTCATTATGTGACCCAGAAACTTCAGCTGTCTACTTCTGATATTAAGTAGAAGCCTCCTCCTTTTTTGCAACCTATCTAAGACCTCATCGTTGCTCAAACTCTCGGTCCATAATATCCTTAGCATCCTTCTGTAGAACCACATCACTGTCGCCTCGAGTCTCTTCTTCATCTTTGAGGAAATCGTCCAATATTCGCTGCCGTAAAGGAGGTCAGATGTCACGTAACAGTTCAGTATTCTTTTCTTTGTTACCAAAGAAATCCTCCTGTCTCGAAATACTCTGCCAGCTTTTGGAATGTGTCCTTGGCCATCCCAATTCGTCTACGGATCTCAGTGTCGCACTTACCGTACTCTGTCAAGACGCCTCCCAGATATTTAAACTTCGGCATCTGCTTGATTCTCGTGTTTCCGACCTTCAAATCGCATTTCAGGTTCATCCTCTCATTGATGACCATGCAGTATGTCTTCTTATAGTCTATGCTTAGTCCTTTCTTCTCACTCTCCGTCGCCACCTTCTGTAGGAGATTTTGTAGTTTCTTTTCCGAGTCTGCTATCAGAACTGTGTCATCTGTGTTTCTTATATTGTTAAGATTGCGGCCGCCAATGCTAAATCACGGTAGGGTTTCAAATTCTCTCAGAATTGCCTCGCTGTATAGGTTGAACAGGTCGGGTGAGAAGACGTATCCTTGCCATACGCGATATATGGGTACACCTCCAAAACCTTCAACGTGAAAAAGTGTTCGAAGAACTGTTTTATCTCCTTTTCATTTGAAAATTCTTCCTCACCAACGCATTTTGCAGCGACCTCAAAAAGTAGTGGGACAGAACATACTAATAATGTTCCAAATTTTTCCTGTCTAACTATTATTAACATGACAGTCCCTGCAGACTGTAATGTGTCTTTGAAGAACTTCAAGAATTATACACGGACCTTAAATCGAAATCTCAAAAGTGAGGATATCAACAATTCCAGTTGTAGTTGGAGCTCTCGGTTTGATAGGAAAAGGTTCCCACACGCACATTGAAGGGATCCCTGATAGCCCAAATCTGAAAGAAACACACAAAAAAATTACTCACAAGTACAGGTCACACTTTGCAAACGGCTTTATCTATGCAAAATCTGTGTGATCATTGTTTTGTTTGTTTGTTTGTTTGTTTGTTTTCTGGAATATTGTTCAGTGAAAAATGCCATGATGCCATTTCTGACCTTAGGTCTCTGGTTGGGAACCGGAAAGAAATGAGTATACAACAGGAATCAAAGGATATAAAATAATAACGCAACTTCTACGGGAAGGAAACTGAAAAAAATTGGTATGAACACCACCCAGACCCAGTTACGGAGATAGGACCTGTAACAATTTTATGGGACTACACAATACACAGAGACAGAACAATCAAAGCCAACCGCCCGGATATTGTTATTAGAGACCACAAAAAAAAAGTGCCTCCTTATTGATATGGCAGTCCCTGCAGACTGCAATGTATCTTTGAAGATCTTCAAAAAGCTATCAAAATACAAATCGAAATCTCAAAAATGTGGCACATGGGAACATCAACAATCCCCGTTGTAGTTGGAGCCCTCAGATTGGTTGGAAAATATTCTAGTAGACTAATTGAAGGAATTCCTGGAAGCACATGCCTTAAAGAAATACAAAAAAATGTTCTTACGAAAGGCTTTATTTAGGTAAAATATATATTTTTTTAATTGGTCAGTAGAAAATGTAATGATGCCATTTATATACTTAGGTCTCTGGGGGGGACCTGGAAAGTAAGGTGTACACATCAGAAATCAAAGGAAATAAAAAAATAATAATAATGATCATAATAATAATAAGCCCATAAAAAGTTTTAAAAAATATTTAATAATTGAAGAGAAAGATGCTGATGATGGTGATGATAGCAGAAAAAGGAAAAAGGAGAAATTAAAAGAGGAAGAGGATTAAGATTTTGGAGAAAAATGCTAAAGAAGGAAGAAGGGGGAGTGTAAAAAAAGAGGAAGAAATAAGAAGTTAAAGAAGAAGATAAATGTAAGAAAAAGAAGAGGAACAAGAAGCAGAAAGGCTGAAGAAAGTGGGGAGGGGTTGGAAAAGAAGCAAAATAAAGTTGAAAAATGAAGAAAAAGAGAATGAAGAAGTCATAAAGGTGTTAGAGTGTAGAAAAGAATAAAAAGAGGGAAGAGGATAAAGAAAGAGAGAAAGAAGAAAGATTGTAGAGAAGAATAAAAAGACGGAAGAGGATAAAAAAGAGAGAAAGACGAAAGAGTGTAGAGAAGAATAAAAAGACTGTAGAGGATAAAGAAAGAGAGAAAGAAGAAAGAGTGTAGAGAAGAATAAAAAGACTGAAGAGGATAAAGAAAGAGAGAAAGAAGAAAGAGTGTAGAGAAGAATAAAAAGACTGAAGAGGATAAAAAAGAAAAAGAGAGAAAGAATAAAAAGAAAGAGGATAAAGAAAGAGAAAGAAGAATAAAAAGACGGAAGAGGATAAAGAAAGAGAGAAAGAAGAAAGAGGTAGAGAAGACTAAAAAGACGGAAGAGGATAAAGAAAGAGAGAAAGAAGAAAGAGTGTAGAGAAGAATAAAAAGACTGAAGAGGATAAAGAAAGAGAGAAAGAAGAAAAGTGTAGAGAAGACTAAAAAGAATGAAGAGGATAAAGAAAGAGAGAAAGAAGAAAGAGTGTAGAGAAGACTAAAAAGACGGAAGAGGATAAAGAAAGAGAGAAAGAAGAAAGAGTGTAGAGAAGAATAAAAAGACGGAAGAGGATAAAGAAAGAGAGAAAGGAGAAAGAGTGTAGAGAGAAGAATAAAAGACTGAAGAGGATAAAGAAAGAAGAAGAAAGAGTGTAGTGAAGAATAAAAAGACTGAAGAGGATAAAGAAAGAGAGAAAGAAAAGAAAGATTGAGAAGACTAAAAAGACGGAAGAGGATAAAAAGAAAGAGAGAAAGGAGAAAGAGTGTAGAGAAGAATAAAAAAGACTGAAGAGGATAAAGAAAGAGAGAAAGAAGAAAGAGTGTAGTGAAGAAAAAAAGACTGAAGAGGATAAAAAGAAAGAGAAAGAAGAAAGATTGTAGAGAAGACTAAAAAGACGGAAGAGGAAAAGAAAGAGAAAGGAGAAAGAGTGTAGAGAAGAATAAAAAGACTGAAGAGGATAAAGAAAGAGAGAAAGAAGAAAAGTGTAGAGAAGACTAAAAAGACTGAAGAGGATAAAGAAAGAGAGAAAGAAGAAAGAGTGTAGAGAAGACTAAAAAGACGGAAGAGGATAAAGAAAGAGAGAAAGAAGAAAGAGTGTATAGAAGAATAAAAAGACTGAAGAGGATAAAGAAAGAGAGAAAGAAGAAAGAGTGTAGTGAAAAATAAAAAGACTGAAGAGGATAAAGAAAGAAAGAAAGAAGAAAGAGTGTAGAGAAGAATAAAAAGACTGAAGAGGATAAAGAAAGAGAGAAAGAAGAAAGAGTGTAGAGAAGACTAAAAAGACGGAAGAGGATAAAGAAAGAGAGAAAGAAGAAAGAGTGTAGAGAAGAATAAAAAGACTGAAGAGGATAAAGAAAGAGAGAAAGAAGAAAGATTGTAGAGAAGACTAAAAAGACGGAAGAGGATAAAGAAAGAGAGAAAGGAGAAAGAGTGTAGAGAAGAATAAAAAGACTGAAGAGGATAAAGAAAGACAGAAAGAAGAAGGAGTGTAGAGAAGACTAAAAAGACTGAAGAGGATAAAGAAAGAGAGAAAGAAGAAAGAGTGTAGAGAAGAATAAAAAGAATGAAGAGGATAAAGAAAGAGAGAAAGAATAAAAAGAGTGTAGAGAAGAATAAAAAAGACGGAAGAGGATAAAGAAAGAGAGAAAGAAGAAAGATTGTAGAGAAGACTAAAAAAGACGGAAGAGGATAAAGAAAGAGAGAAAGAAGAAAGAGGTAGAGAAGAAAAAAAAAGACTGAAGAGGATAAAGAAAAGAGAGAAAAGAAGAAAGAGTGTAGAGAAGACTAAAAAGACGGAAGAGGATAAAGAAAGAGAGAAAGAAGAAAGATTAAGAGAAGACTAAAAAGACGGAAGAGGATAAAGAAAGAGAGAAAGGAGAAAAGAGTGTAGAGAAGAAAAAAAGACTGAAGAGGATAAAGAAAGAGAAAGAAGAAAAGAGTGTAGAGAAGAATAAAAAAGACGGAAGAGGATAAAGAAAGAGAGAAAGAAGAAAGAAGAAAGAGAAGAATAAAAAGACGGAAGAGGATAAAGAAAGAGAGAAAAAAAAAGAGTGTAGAGAAGACTAAAAGACGGAAGAGGATAAAGAAAGAGAGAAAGAAGAAAGAGTGTAGAGAAGAATAAAAAGACTGAAGAGGATAAAGAAAGAGAGAAAGAAAAAAAGTAGAGAAGACTAAAAAGAATGAAGAGGATAAAGAAAGAGAGAAAGAAGAAAAGTGTAGAGAAGACTAAAAAAAGACGGAAGAGGATAAAGAAAGAGAGAAAGAAGAAAGAAAGAGAAGAAAAAAGACGGAAGAGGATAAAGAAAGAGAGAAAGGAGAAAGAGTGTAGAGAAGAATAAAAAGACTGAAGAGGATAAAGAAAGAGAGAAAGAAGAAAGAGTGTAGTGAAGAATAAAAAGACTGAAGAGGATAAAGAAAGAGAGAAAGAAGAAAGATTGTAGAGAAGACTAAAAAGACGGAAGAGGATAAAGAAAGAGAGAAAGGAGAAAGAGTGTAGAGAAGAATAAAAAGACTGAAGAGGATAAAGAAAGAGAGAAAGAAGAAAGAGTGTAGTGAAGAATAAAAAGACTGAAGAGGATAAAGAAAGAGAGAAAGAAGAAAGATTGTAGAGAAGACTAAAAAGACGGAAAAGGATAAAGAAAGAGAGAAAGGAGAAAGAGTGTAGAGAAGAATAAAAAGACTGAAGAGGATAAAGAAAGAGAGAAAGAAGAAAAGTGTAGAGAAGACTAAAAAGACTGAAGAGGATAAAGAAAGAGAGAAAGAAGAAAGAGTGTAGAGAAGACTAAAAAGACGGAAGAGGATAAAGAAAGAGAGAAAGAAGAAAGAGTGTATAGAAGAATAAAAAGACTGAAGAGGATAAAGAAAGAGAAAGAAGAAAGAGGTAGTGAAAAATAAAAAAGACTGAAGAGGATAAAGAAAGAAAAAAAGAAGAAAGAGTGTAGAGAAGAAAAAAAGACTGAAGAGGATAAAGAAAAGAGAAAGAAGAAAGAGTGTAGAGAAGAAGAAAAAGACGGAAAGGATAAAAGAGAGATAAAAAAAAGAGAAGAAGAAAAAGACTGAAGAGGATAAAGAAAGAGAGAAAAAGAAAGATTGTAGAGAAGACTAAAAAGACGGAAGAGGATAAAGAAAGAAAGGAAGAAAGAGTGTAGAGAAGAAAAAAAGACTGAAGAGGATAAAGAAAGAGAGAAAGAAGAAAGGAGGTAGAGAAGAATAAAAAAAAAGACTGAAAAGGATAAAGAAACAGAGAAAGAAGAAAGAGTGTAGAGAAGAATAAAAAGACTGAAGAGGATAAAGAAAGAGAGAAAGAAGAAAGAGTGTAGAGAAGAATAAAAAGACTGAAGAGGATAAGGAAAGAGAGAAAGAAGAAAGATTGTAGAGAAGACTAAAAAGACTGAAGAGGATAAAGAAAGAGAGAAAGAAGAAAGAGTGTAGAGAAGAATAAAAAGAATGAAGAGGATAAAGAAAGAGAGAAAGAAGAAAGAGTGTAGAGAAGAATAAAAAGACGGAAGAGGATAAAGAAAGAGAGAAAGAAGAAAGATTGTAGAGAAGACTAAAAAGACGGAAGAGGATAAAGAAAGAGAGAAAGAAGAAAGAAGAAAGAGAAGAATAAAAAGACGGAAGAGGATAAAGAAAGAGAAAGAATAAAAGAAGAGAAGAATAAAAAAGACGGAAGAGGATAAAGAAAGAGAGAAAGGAAAAAGATTGAAGAAAGAATAAAAGACTGAAGAGGATAAAGAAAGAAAGAGAAAGAAGAAAGAGAAGAAAGAAGAAAAAAAGACTGAAGAGGATAAAGAAAGAGAGAAAGAAGAAAGATTGAAAGAGAAGACTAAAAAAGACGGAAGAGGATAAAGAAAGAGAGAAAGGAGAGAAAGATTGTAGAGAAGAATAAAAAGACTGAAGAGGATAAAGAAAGAGAGAAAGAAGAAAGAGTGTAGAGAAGAATAAAAAGACGGAAGAGGATAAAGAAAGAGAGAAAGAAGAAAGATTGTAGAGAAGACTAAAAAAGACGGAAAGGATAAAGAAAAGAGAAAAGGAGAAAGATGTAGAGAAGAATAAAAAAAGACTGAAGAGGATAAAGAAAGAGAGAAAGAAGAAAGAGTGTAGAGAAGAATAAAAAGACGGAAGAGGATAAAGAAAGAGAGAAAGAAGAAAGATTGTAGAGAAGACTAAAAAGACGGAAGAGGATAAAGAAAGAGAGAAAGAAGAAAGAGTGTAGAGAAGAATAAAAAGACTGAAGAGGATAAAGAAAGAGAGAAAGAAGAAAGAGTGTAGAGAAGAATAAAAAGACGGAAGAGGATAAAGAAAGAGAGAAAGAAGAAAGATTGTAGAGAAGACTAAAAAGACGGAAGAGGATAAAGAAAGAGAGAAAGAAGAAAAATTGTAGAGAAGACTAAAAAGACGGAAGAGGATAAAGAAAGAGAGAAAGGAGAAAGAGTGTAGAGAAGAATAAAAAGACTGAAGAGGATAAAGAAAGAGAAAAAGAAGAAAAGTGTAGAGAAGAATAAAAAAGACGGAAGAGGATAAAGAAAGAGAGAAAGAAAGATTGTAGAGAAGACTAAAAAAGACGGAAGAGGATAAAGAAAAAGAGAAAGGAGAAAGAGTGTAGAGAAGAATAAAAAGACTGAAGAGGATAAAGAAAGAGAGAAAAAGAAGAAAAAGTGTAAGAGAAGAATAAAAGAAAAAGAGGAAGAGGAGAGAGAAAGAAAGAGAAAGAAGAAAAGATAAAGAAAGAGAAGACGAAGTGAAGAAGAGAATAAAGAAAGAGAGAGAAAGAAGAAAAGAGTGTAGAGAAGAAAAAAAAAGACTGAAGAGAGGAAAAGAAAGAGAGAAAGAAGAAAGAGTGTAGAGAAGACAAAAAAGACGGAAGAGGATAAAGAAAGAGAGAAAGAAGAAAGAGTGTAGAGAAGAATAAAAAGACTGAAGAGGATAAAGAAAGAGAGAAAGAAGAAAGATTGTAGAGAAGACTAAAAAGACCGAGGAGGATAAAGAAAGAGAGAAAGGAGAAAGAGTGTAGAGAAGAATAAAAAGACTGAAGAGGATAAAGAAAGAGGGAAAGAAGAAAGAGTGTAGAGAAGAATAAAAAGACTGAAAAGGATAAAGAAAGAGAGAAAGAAAAAAGAGTGTAGAGAAGAATAAAAAAAGACTGAAGAGGATAAAGAAAGAGAGAAAAGAAGAAAGAGGAAAAGAAGAATAAAAAAGACTGAAGAGGATAAAGAAAGAGAGAAAGAAGAAAGATTGTAGAGAAGACTAAAAAGACTGAAGAGGATAAAGAAAGAGAGAAAGAAGAAAGAGTGTAGAGAAGAATAAAAAGACTGAAGAGAATAAAGAAAGAGAGAAAGAAGAAAGAGTGTAGAGAAGAATAAAAAGACGGAAGAGGATAAAGAAAGAGAGAAAGGAGAAAGAGTGTAGAGAAGAATAAAAAGACTGAAGAGGATAAAGAAAGAGAGAAAGAAGAAGGAGGTAGAGAAGAATAAAAGACTGAAAAGGATAAAGAAAGAGAGAGAGAAAGAAAGAGTGTAGAGAAGAAAAAAGACTGAAGAGGATAAAGAAAGAGAGAAAGAAGAAAGAGTGTAGAGAAGAATAAAAAAGACTGAAGAGGATAAGGAAAGAGAGAAAGAAGAAAGATTGTAGAGAAGACTAAAAGACTGAAGAGGATAAAGAAAGAGAGAAAGAAGAAAGAGGTAGAGAAGAATAAAAAAGAATGAAGAGGATAAAGAAAAGAGAAAGAAGAAAGAGGTAGAGAAGAATAAAAAAAAGACGGAAGAGGATAAAGAAAAAGAGAAAGAAGAAAGATTGTAGAGAGAAGACTAAAAAGACGGAAGAGGATAAAGAAAAGAGAAAGAAGAAAGAGGTAGAGAAGAATAAAAAGACTGAAGAGGATAAAGAAAGAGAGAAAGAAGAAAGAGTGTAGAGAAGAATAAAGAGACGGAAGAGGATAAAGAAAGAGAGAAAGAAGAAAGATTGTAGAGAAGACTAAAAAGACGGAAGAGGATAAAGAAAGAGAGAAAGGAGAAAGAGTGTAGAGAAGAATAAAAAGACTGAAGAGGATAAAGAAAGAGAGAAAGAAGAAAGAGTATAGAGAAGAATAAAAAGACGGAAGAGGATAAAGAAAGAGAGAAATAAGAAAGATTGTAGAGAAGACTAAAAAGACGGAAGAGGATAAAGAAAGAGAGAAAGAAGAAAGAGTGTAGAGAAGAATAAAAAGACTGAAGAGGATAAAGAAAGAGAGAAAGAAGAAAGAGTGTAGAGAAGAATAAAAAGACGGAAGAGGATAAAGAAAGAGAGAAAGAAGAAAGATTGTAGAGAAGACTAAAAAGACGGAAGAGGATAAAGAAAGAGAAAAGAAGAAAGATTGTAGAGAAGACTAAAAAGACGGAAGAGGATAAAGAAAGAGAGAAAGAGAAAGAGTGTAGAGAAGAATAAAAAGACTGAAGAGGATAAAAAAAAGAGAAAAGAAGAAAGAGGTAGAGAAGAATAAAAGACGGAAGAAGATAAAGAAAGAGAGAAAGAAGAAAGATTGTAGAGAAGACTAAAAAAGACGGAAGAGGATAAAGAAAAAGAGAAAGGAGAAAGAGTGTAGAGAAGAATAAAAAGACTGAAGAGGATAAAAAAAAAAAAAGAAAAAAAGTGTAGAGAAGACTAAAAAGACTGAAGAGGATAAAGAAAGAGAGAAAGAAGAAAGAGTGTAGAGAAGAATAAAAAGACGGAAGAGGATAAAGAAAGAGAGAAAGAAGAAAGAGTGTAGAGAAGAATAAAAAGACTGAAGAGGATAAAGAAAGAGAGAAAGAAGAAAGAGTGTAGAGAAGAATAAAAAGACTGAAAAGGATAAAGAAAGAGAGAAAGAAGAAAGAGGTAGAGAAGAATAAAAAAGACTGAAGAGGATAAAGAAAGAGAGAAAGAAGAAAGATTGGAAGAGAAGAATAAAAAGACTGAAGAGGATAAAGAAAGAGAGAAAGAAGAAAGATTGTAGAGAAGAATAAAAAGACTGAAGAGGATAAAGAAAGAGAAGAAAGAAGAGAAGAGAGAATAATAAAAAGACTGAAGAGGATAAAAAAGAGAGAAGAAAAGAGGTTAGAAGAATAAAAAGACGGAAGAGGATAAAGAAAAGAAAAAGAAGAAAGATTGTAGGAGAAGAAAAAAGACGGAAGAGGAAGAGGATAAAGAAAGAAAGAAAAGAGTGAAGAAGAAGAAGAAAAAGACTGAAGAGGATAAAAGAAAGAGAGAAAGAAGGAAGAAAGAGAAGAAAAAAGACGGAAGAGGATAAAGAAAGAGAGAAAGAAGAAAGATTGTAGAGAAGACTAAAAAGACGGAAGAGGATAAAAAGAAAGAGAGAAAAAGAAGAAGAGTGTAGAGAAGAATAAAACGACTGAAGAGGATAAAGAAAGAGAGAAAGAAGAAAGAGTGTAGAGAAGAATAAAAAGACGGAAGAGGATAAAGAAAGAGAGAAAGAAGAAAGATTGTAGAGAAGACTAAAAAGACGGAAGAGGATAAAGAAAGAGAGAAAGAAGAAAGATTGTAGAGAAGACTAAAAAGACGGAAGAGGATAAAGAAAGAGAGAAAGGAGAAAGAGTGTAGAGAAGAAAAAAAAAAGACGGAAGAGGATAAAGAAGTTTTGAGAAAGAAGAAAATTTGTAGAGAAGAAAAAAAAGACGGAAGAGGATAAAGAAAAGAGAAAGAAGAAAGAGGTAGAGAAGAACAAAAAGACGGAAGAGGATAAAGAAAAGAGAGAAAAAGAAAGAGGTAGAGAAGAAAAAAAAAAGACGGAAGAGGATAAAAGAAAGAGAGAAAGAAGAAAGATTGTAGAGAAGACTAAAAAGACGGAAGAGGATAAAGAAAGAGAGAAAGAAGAAAGAGTGTAGAGAAGAATAAAAAGACTGAAGAGGATAAAGAAAGAGAGAAAGAAGGAAGAGTGTAGAGAAGAATAAAAAGAAGAGGAGGATAAAGAAAGAGAGAAAGAAGAAAGATTGTAGAGAAGACTAAAAAAAGACGGAAGAGGATAAGAAAAGAGAAAGAAGAAAGAGTGTAGAGAAGAATAAAACGACTGAAGAGGATAAAGAAAGAGAGAAAGAAGAAAGAGTGTAGAGAAGAATAAAAAGACGGAAGAGGATAAAGAAAGAGAGAAAGAAGAAAGATTGTAGAGAAGACTAAAAAGACGGAAGAGGATAAAGAAAGAGAGAAAGGAGAAAGAGTGTAGAGAAGAATAAAAAGACTGAAGAGGATAAAGAAAGAGAGAAAGAAGAAAGAGTGTAGAGAAGACTAAATAGACTGAAGAGGATAAAGAAAGGGAGAAAGAAGAAAGATTGTAGAGAAGAATAAAAAGACGGAAGAGGATAAAGAAAGAGAGAAAGAAGAAAGATTGTAGAGAAGAATAAAAAGACGGAAGAGGATAAAGAAAAAGAGAAAGAAGAAAGAGTGTAGAGAAGAATAAAAAGACGGAAGAGGATAAAGAAAGAGAGAAAGAAGAAAGAATGTAGAGAAGAATAAAAAGACGGAAGTGGATAAAGAAAGAGAGAAAGAAGAAAGATTGTAGAGAAGAATAACAAAGACGGAAGAGGATAAAGAAAGAGAGAAAGAAGAAAGAGTGTAGAGAAGAATAAAAAGACTGAAGAGGATAAAGAAAGAGAGAAAGAAGAAAGAATGTATAGAAGACTAAAAAGACTTAAGAGGATAAAGAAAGAGAGAAAGAAGAAAGATTGTAGAGAAGAATAAAAAGACGGAAGAGGATAAAGAAAGAGAGAAAGAAGAAAGAGTGTAGAGAAGACTAAATAGACTGAAGAGGATAAAGAAAGGGAGAAAGAAGAAAGATTGTAGAGAAGAATAATAAGACGGAAGAGGATAAAGAAAGAGAGAAAGAAGAAAGAGTGTAGAGAAGAATAAAAAGACGGAAGAGGATAAAGAAAGAGAGAAAGAAGAAAGAGTGTAGAGAAGAATAAAAAGACGGAAGAGGATAAAGAAAGAGAGAAAGAAGAAAGAGTGTAGAGAAGAATAAAAAGACGGAAGAGGATAAAGAATGAGAGAAAGACGAAAGATTGTAGAGAAGAATAAAAAGACGGAAGAGGATAAAGAAAGAGAGAAAGAAGAAAGAATGTAGAGAAGAATAAAAAGACTGAAGAGGATAAAGAAAGAGAGAAAGAAGAAAGAATGTATAGAAGACTAAAAAGACTTAAGAGGATAAAGAAAGAGAGACAGAAGAAAGATTGTAGAGAAGAATAAAAAGACGGAAGAGGATAAAGAAAGAGAGAAAGAAGAAAGAGTGTAGAGAAGACTAAATAGACTGAAGAGGATAAAGAAAGGGAGAAAGAAGAAAGATTGTAGAGAAGAATAAAAAGACGGAAGAGGATAAAGAAAGAGAGAAAGAAGAAAGATTTTAGAGAAGAATAAAAAGACGGAAGAGGATAAAGAAAGAGAGAAAGAAGAAAGATTGTAGAGAGAAGAAAAAAAGACGGAAGAGGATAAAGAAAGAGAGAAAAGAAGAAAGAGTGAAAGAGAAGAATAAAAAGACGGAAGAGGAAAAAGAAAGAGAGAAAGAAGAAAGAATGTAGAGAAGAATAAAAGACTGAAGAGGATAAAGAAAGAGAGAAAGAAGAAAGATTGTAGAGAAGAATAAAAAGACGGAAGAGGATAAAGAAAGAGAGAAAGAAGAAAGAGTGTAGAGAAGAATAAAAAGACTGAAGAGGATAAAGAAAGAGAGAAAGAAGAAAGAATGTATAGAAGACTAAAAAGACTTAAGAGGATAAAGAAAGGGAGAAAGAAGAAAGATTGTAGAGAAGAATAAAAAGACGGAAGAGGATAAAGAAAGAGAGAAAGAAGAAAGAGTTTAGAGAAGACTAAATAGACTGAAGAGGATAAAGAAAGGAGAAAGAAGAAAGATGAAGAAGAAGAATAAAAAGACGGAAGAGGATAAAGAAAGAGAGAAAGAAAGAAAGATTGTAGAGAAGAATAAAAAGACGGAAGAGGATAAAGAAAGAGAGAAAGAAGAAAGAGTGTAGAGAAGAATAAAAAGACGGAACAGGATAAAGAAAGAGAGAAAGAAGAAAGAGTGTAGAGAAGAATAAAAAGACGGAAGAGGATAAAGAAAGAGAGAAAGAAGAAAGAATGTAGAGAAGAATAAAAAGACTGAAGAGGATAAAGAAAGAGAGAAAGAAGAAAGATTGTAGAGAAGAATAAAAAGATGGAAGAGGATAAAGAAAGAGAGAAAGAAGAAAGAATGTAGAGAAGAATAAAAAGACTGAAGAGGATAAAGAAAAGAGAGAAAGAAGAAAGATTGTAGAGAAGAAGAAAAAAAGACGGAAGAGGATAAAGAAAGAGAGAAAGAAGAAAGAGTGTAGAGAAGAATAAAAAGACTGAAGAGGATAAAGAAAGAGAGAAAGAAGAAAGAATGTATAGAAGACTAAAAAGACTTAAGAGGATAAAGAAAGGGAGAAAGAAGAAAGATTGTAGAGAAGAATAAAAAGACGGAAGAGGATAAAGAAAGAGAGAAAGAAGAAAGAGTTTAGAGAAGACTAAATAGACTCAAGGGGATAAAGAAAGGGAGAAAGAAGAAAGATTGTAGAGAAGAATAAAAAGACGGAAGAGGATAAAGAAAGAGAGAAAGAAGAAAGAGTTTAGAGAAGACTAAATAGACTCAAGGGGATAAAGAAAGGGAGAAAGAAGAAAGATTGTAGAGAAGAATAAAAAGATGGAAGAGTATAAAGAAAGAGAGAAAGAAGAAAGAGTGTAGAGAAGAATAAAAAGACGGAAGAGGATAAAGAAAGAGAGAAAGAAGAAAGAATGTAGAGAAGAATAAAAAGACTGAAGAGGATAAAGAAAGAGAGAAAGAAGAAATATTGTAGAGAAGAATAAAAAGACGGAAGAGGATAAAGAAAGAGAGAAAGAAGAAAGAATGTAGAGAAGAATAAAAAGACTGAAGAGGATAAAGAAAGAGAGAAAGAAGAAAGAATGTATAGACGACTAAAAAGACTTAAGAGGATAAAGAAAGAGAGAAAGAAGAAAGATTGTAGAGAAGAATAAAAAGACGGAAGAGGATAAAGAAAGAGAGAAAGAAGAAAGAATGTAGAGAAGAATAAAAAGGCTGAAGAGGATAAAGAAAGAGAGAAAGAAAAAAGATTGTAGAGAAGAATAAAAAGACGGAAGAGGATAAAGAAAGAGAGAAAGAAGAAAGAGTGTAGAGAAGACTAAAAAGACTGAAGAGGATAAAGAAAGAGAGAAAGAAGAAAGAATCTATAGAAGAATAAAAAGACGGAAGAGGATAAAGAAAGAGAGAAAGAAGAAAGATTGTAGAGAAGAATAAAAAGACGGAAGAGGATAAAGAAAGAGAGAAAGAAGAAAGAATGTATAGAAGACTAAAAAGACTGAAGAGGATAAAGAAAGAGATAAAGAAGAAAGAATGTATAGAAGAATAAAAAGACGGAAGAGGATAAAGAAAAAGAGAAAGAAGAAAGATTGTAGAGAAGAATAAAAAGACTGAAGAGGATAAAGAAAGAGAGAAAGAAGAAAGAGTGTAGAGAAGACTAAAAAGACTGAAGAGGATAAAGAAAGAGAGAAAGAAGAAAGAATGTATAGAAGAATAAAAAGACGGAAGAGGATAAAGAAAGAGAGAAAGAAGAAAGAGTGTAGAGAAGACTAAAAAGACTGAAGAGGATAAAGAAAGAGAGAAAGAAGAAAGATTGTAGAGAAGACTAAAAAGACGGAAGAGGATAAAGAAAGAGAGAAATAAGAAAGATTGTAGAGAAGAATAAAAAGACTGAAGAGGATATAGAAAGAGAGAAAGAAGAAAGAGTGTAGAGAAGAATAAAAAGACGGAAGAGGATAAAGAAAGAGAGAAAGAAGAAAGACTGTTTAGAAAACTAAAACGACGGAAGATTAAGGTAAAGAGAAAGAAAAGAAAAATGGCTGCCAGTTATATGTTGTTGATGCTAATCAAAATAATATAATTACTAATAGAAATCTGAGTCATAAAAGTATTAGAAAAATAAGGCTTCGGAAAGCTACCTCTACTAAATGGTTATCAAAACTTTGTTGGATTGGAGAAGAGAAAAGAAAACATTTGGCAACACGTGGTACCTGTTCGTCTTTATAATTCGACTGATTAGTCGGATAACGCGGTTCTTATTTCTTGTGTACACCAAACACGGTTCGTATTACGTACAGCGCCACCTAGGCCAAGTACATGAGTTGCGACCAGCTGTTCTGTTTACATATTTAATTAGAAGTCGAGGAATCAGGGCCAACTATTTCAGAGTAATTAATGACGAACGTCCGCCTAGAAAAACATTAAGCAAAAGAGAAAAACCGCAGGGAAGAGAATTTGAGAATATATATATATATATATATATATATATATATATATATTGTCTCATTTCACCACTTTTCGTTTCCATATCCTACTGACAGGCACAGAGGCGCATTTTCTGTTAATAAGATTTCTCGAATATTTAAGACGTTAGACGAAAATAAAATATTGTTTAAAATAAATAACTAAAACGGTGCGTCTACTTAGATAACGTTTAAGGTGATTATATATATATATATATATATATATATATATATATATATATATATATATATATATATATATTATAAAATAAATATGATATCTATTAATACTAGCAAATAATATAAGTAAAATTATGTACCACATATTAAACTTAAAAGAGTGCTTTTAAGTGGTAATTATAAGAATAAAGCGATAATTATTATTAAAATGTAAATTAAAACCTTGAATACTTATCGAAGGTCAACTCAGAGTTTTCTAATGTTTCAATCACGTATCAGGACTCTCAGCATGAATGCATGTATTAATCAATGCAGTCCCAATTAGTGATTGAAAAATTACGAAACTCTGATTTAATCTTTGATAAGTATTAAACAGTTTATACTTCTGTTTTAAAATGATGATTGGTTTAGTCTTACATGGAGCACTTTATTAGCAAAATGTTTTTAAAATGTTATATATGTTATATAATTTTACATATAAATATATATTTTCATTTTTGGATTATGTTTCCGATTCCTTCTAAAATTTCTCATTCTCTTTCACTTCCGTCTTAGTGGCATCATCGCTTGCTTGGGATGAAATGATTAAATTTAATATGCGTTTAATAATTTTACTTATATTATTTGCTATTATTAAATATATATATATGGGTATGTGGCCGAGTGGTTAGAACGTTCGTATTCTGACGGGGTTCGAATCTAACCATGGTCGATTTGTCGATCCCATCGTGCGGCACCTTTGGAAAGTGCGTGAAAACCATACAGTAAAATTGGTTAGACAGAACCCTGTGCTAGCACGAAGTCATCGTGGCCGAGGGCTTGAGTGTACTGGCCTTCTTCATATTGTTGATCACGCTAGATAGCACGCTCTTTCTCAACTTCTGCTCAGCATAGTTGCAGTATGAACGACAAAACAGAATATATATATATATATATATATATATATATATATATATATATATATATATATATATATATATATATATATATAATTATTTTTTATAAAAAAAATATATTTATGACATAAATATGTTATAAAATAACTACAAAAATAGCCATTTTGTTTCAACACCCCTGGTGTCTTATCAAGTGATGATGTCGAATATAAAATAAATGGTTTTAAAAGTTTCAAATTAATTAACGATCCTTCGCTAAGAGAAAACGTTGTTACAAAAGCTAGAATGACCAATCAAAACCCAAGTATAGGAAGATTCAAAAGCTTAACAACGAAATCATATTATAATAGCTATTCATATCTTTAAAATACGAGCAATATTAAAAAGAATTTATTCTAACCAATAATTGTTAAATTATATGATAAAATTTGTTATTAAAATTAAAAACTGCCAATTTTAAAATCCAAATTTAATAACTATTAAGTTTAAAAACTATAAAATAACTAAGAAAAGAAAAAATACATATGTTATTCAATTTATTTCTTCGTTGAAATTACGTTAGAACAGACGCTACAATATCCGGTCATCTGACCATACATGTATATATATTTTAATCCCAAGTGTGTGAATGGGGTCTAAACTGACGCGCAAAACAACACAAACAGATTATAATACATAAGCACCCAGGCATATTTAGATATATATATATACACACAAAAAAGCGACGAGACAGGAACATCTCCACAGCCCTTTATGAAAAAAGAAAACGGGGAAACCAACACCTACACACACACACAATTAAAAGTGAATGCACTTTCCATACACATAGACACCGATAAATACATGTACGCACATCCACAGACATTGACCTTGACAATCAGATACCGCAACCAATAAATATTTAAGGCTAAATGTATCATTAAGCAAATGTTAGCCACTTATTAAAATATAACTTAAGCAAGCAAATATACAAATATAAAATAGTTAAAAAAATAATATTATTTAATATATTAAAACGAAAATTCCAAAACCACAAATATCAATAAAAACATATTTTAATCATATAAATTGATAATATATATATAAAACTGGCCACTCGTATACGAGTATGCCTGTCTCCTAGGGCGGCTAAGAAATAACCTGTTGACTCCGGCTCAGGAATGTTTGCATAATAAAACTATGCTGAGTGGGTGAGAGCGCATTATATGTCCTGATCAACCCTCGGTCACTATGACTTGTGACTTTGTGCTAGCTCGACCATCGACGGCTCTCAGTTCCATAACCAATTCCACTCGCAGGGCTTGGGTTAACTCGTGGCATGGTTTTAAGTAATTTCTAAATGTGGCGAACGCTAGGATCTCCTCCCCAGATTGATAACATCAAGAAGTCCCATTCCTGACAAATCGACCTTGTTGAGGTTCGAAACCGGGTCTCATAGTTGGAAAGCAAGCGTTCTTGTGTATTTGGGCAGCAATCCTTCTTTTATACAGATTTCATTGAAGTTAACAGACAATGCGCTGCGATTAAACTTTTATTATATTTTTCTAGCATGCATACAAGTGTTGTAGGGGTGCAGGTATATCTATTCGTAGCCAAAACAGAAACAAAATTATTTCTAAATATTTAATCAAATAAGAAATTTTCAGACAAATAATATAATGCCAGATTAAAAATGTAAGAAAACTTTGGAAATTCCTTGGAATTAATTTTTTCCATTTCGAATACGAAAATAAAGTCAGCAGATTTGGCCTTTCCAGAAAATCAGAAAGAGAACGTGCCCATTTCTAAAAAAAGGTTAATTGAATCTTGCTAGGCTGTGGAGCTCTCTGTAGCCAATGGGTGTAAAGCCCACCGGATAAGTCGGTAGGTTCCATACCAAATGCATATACTCTTTATTATGACTTTCTAATGGATATGCAGGTAGATACCATTCATAGATTAAAAAAAAAATAAACACAACCTCAATTCGAACACTTCCTCGCCAAAATATGTGTAATAATGATAAATTTAATACATATTGTATAAACATATATTTTATAATACACACACATATCGATATATATATATATATATATATATATATATATATATATATAGGGTGTTCCAGTAACTTGAACCGATTTAAATGTGATTAAAGTTTAAGCGTCTAATGATTTTTTTCTTTTTCTTTCAGATTTAACAACTCAAGTCCTTGAAAATTTCAACCATGTAAATATTAACAATCAAACAACGTGTTAAATTTATCGAGCCTATTATGAAAAAAGAAAATTCATTAATTCGCATTTAAAATCGGTCAAAGTTATTGAAAAACATATATATATATATATATATATATATATATATATATATATATATATATATCCTGGTCCCAACCAGATGAAAGAAGATGTACAGTTTTGTAGTGGATATGTGCATCTTCTAATGTAACACTGCATAATATATATATATATATATATATATATATATATATATATATATATATTATATATAAATAGACCACTTTAGGGTTCCATGTAATAAGTTATTTCACCACAACCCCTTTAACAGGGCTCTGGATCATCAGACTTTAATTCCTTATTACATGCTACCCTAAAGTGGTCAAACATATCGGCTCTGAATTTTACATTGAGCTCTCCGGATATCATCCTCCTTGGGTCTACCCATGCGGATTACCTAGTTTTGCATAAACTATATATATATATATATATATATATATTACTTTTACTGTTTTACTGTTTATGTTATATACCGTATCTATGAACACTAATGGGTATGTCCTAATCCTCATAAATACGTTAGACACTACTGTAAGGTTTGAGGGGGGGGGGTAATATGCTAACAGTGATTTACCTACTTCACGCCGCTGGCGAGTATTGTATTTTGTTGGTATTTCATTTCCAATCTCCGTTTTGTTTATTCCTCATTCAGTAACCCTCTCTGGGTTATAACAGTTCATATACAAGTTTGAGGGAGAAAAAGAAGGATTTTTATCCCTATTTCAAGAAAATTTCAGATAATTTTTATTGTTTCCGGTGAAAATGTAAATATAAATATTTCGTTGGATATCGAACAAATATTCATCACAAGCCTGGAAAATGGTTCAAAGTATAATTATTTACCCGCTGCCCTACGCAGCAAGATGTGGCACAAGGCCGAGTTTTAAAGTGGGGCAGACTCGGACAAAAATTCTCTATAGACCACGCAAAAACAGAGTCAGTTTCCAGAGACGAGACTCCGTCCTTCGGGCAGAGCCTTGTTTGGGAGATACCCTCTGACATGTGCCTGGTAAGTATGGTTAAATTATAGAATGTTTATACGAAACATATCGAAATAAAATCGTTAGCATACTTGTATGAGTGCAGGTATATTATTATTTCTTAAACGTTATTTTTAGTGGATACCCATATTTGAATAGACGCTCTGTTTATTTATTAAACCTTATTTATATTTATTTTCATTTACCGGCCTTCGAGAAATGCTATTAGATAAAATCATGCGGTTTCCGCCAAAATTCAAACCTGCTTGCCGAAATTAATGATATTGTCTGGCTTGCTCAAAACCCAGAAAACCAGAAAATCTGTAAGAGCTCGTGGCCATGATCTATGCCAAAAGGGCATGAAATCCTGAAGCGATTCAAAGATTTACCAAAGAAGTA